GGAGTGCGCCCCGCGGCTGCCGGAGGATCGGGGTCCGCCGCGGCCGCCGCGGCCAGCCCCGGCGCCTCCATGGGGGCGCGTTGCCGGCCGCGGGCCGCCGGGCTTCCCGAGACGCAGCCTCGGAGGGCGGCGCGGCGGCGGCGGCGGTGGCATCAGCGGAGGCCCCCCATGCCCGCCCGGCGCCTCCGGGTGCGCGGCCCGGCGCGGCGGGGACAAAGGCGCCGCGCGGGGCGGCGCTCAGTGCAGGAGCAGCAGCAGCAGCTGGTGGGAGTAGCCGGCGGCCTCCGGGGCGCGGCGCGGGCCGGGCGGTGGCGAGGGCGGTGGCGGCGGAGGAGGCGGTGGAGGCGCAGGAGATGGTGGAGGCTGTGGCGTGGCCGGGGCGCAGGGCGAGGCGGAGTCCGGGCCGCGGGCGCCCCGCTCCCTGTTCATTCCTCGGGTCGCGCACCAGCCACGGGCAGCGCTGGCCCCGCACCGGCGAGAGCGGGGGCCCGGGCGGAAGCGGCCTGGGCGGGGCGATCCCCGGAGCGCGAGCGCGGCCGGGCGCGCGGGGACAGCCCGGGGGCGGTGTCGGGTCCGCGCTCCGCCCCGCGCGCAGCCCCGCCCCGAGCCGCGCGGCCAGGGCGCCCGGAGCTGCCGCGGCCCGTCTGCGCCCAGGGCGCGCCCGCGCGGGGTCCCCACCCTGCTCCCCGGCGACGCGCACGGCCACCACCCAGGTCGCCGCGCCCCAGCCACCCCCCCCCCCCCCCCCGGGGGGGGGGGGGGGAGGGGCCGGGGCCGGGCGGGCGGGGCGGGGACCCGAGTAAAGTTTAAAAACAGAAGTGAAAATGGAACTCGGTGCTGGTGGCCCGCAGCTCCGCCAACCCCAGGGTCCCCAAGCGCGCGGTGCCCAGCGAACCCCGCGAAGGCTCGCTCGGTGCAGCGGGTGGACAGGCCAGAGCTCCCGCCCCAGGGGGGTTCCTGCTTCTGCCCCCCCCCCCCCCCCCCGGACTCCGGGGATGGAGAGATCTCGATCTGGGGGCAGAGGAGGGACAGAGGGACCTCCCTGGGCGCTCTCGGCAGCTTCCTGTGAGTCTATGATAATTTCAAAATAAATATTTTACTAAAAAAAAAGAGAGAAGCATTCAAGCGATACAGCGACAGCACACAGGGCGGGCGGGCCGACGGGCCACCGTTCCAACCCAGGGACAGTCTCTGACCACTCGGGAACAGCTGCAGACATTTTAGTTTCAGATGCACCACGGTCGTTTGCCTGAAAACCTGCCCCCCACCCCCCCACACACACACACAAACACACTTGGCCACAGGCTTTAAAAGGACTCTTCTGTGCGTGCACTTCAAGTGCAACTGGACGCCGGGCGAGTGGCCACCCCCTTCCCTGGGGATCTAGTTAAAAGCAGCCTGGGTTGGGCGGGAGCGGCCTAGATGTCACCCGCAGATTGACCCTCAGGTCGGAGCAGGGTTTGAGTGGCAGGAGGGCAGAAGTATACATGGTTTTGAGGGACGCCAGGTAGTCTGTGGCTGGAGGGACTGTCCCCAGCCCCGGGCCTCCTGTGTAAGCCACAGAGGAGCATTTTTAAGGAAATCAGGCCATGCCACCCCGCACAGCCAGCAGCGAGAGGGCGACAGGAAGTCTAACCCGGGCTCTGGGTGTGGCTTTCTGGGCCCTGGCTACCATCCCCCACCTGCATCTTGTGGGTGGCAGGTTCCTGGGGGGCGGGGCGGGGAGACCGGCTTTCAGCCGGAATGGAATGCAAAAAATGTGCACCGTCTAGTGACACTCTGTGCGCCGGGTTAGGCCCAGGACACGCGCCCCTGCTGAAGGAACTGGGGGCCAGCCGAGGTCTTGCACATCGAGGCTCCCAAACCCACCTCCTCTGCACTCGGATCTGACCCCAGAAATGCGATGCGTCCAGCGAATCAAGTCTTTGCCACCGAGGCTCGGAATGCACGCAGGCACGCACATGTTTTTTGCTTGCAAAGTGCATTCAGGTAGACACAGAGGGGAACGTGCAGGTCTCAACCCTTCTCGGTGGCTGCCCGGTGGCTCTGATGGGACCTCGCCCACCCTGAGCTGGCCCGCATCCCTACCCCGGCCCACGTGCCTACCCCTTCCTATCAATAGCACCAGTGTGTTTTGCAACAAAGCAGCTTGCATCTGGGCGGATCTTAAAAAAGGGGGAAAAAATTCTTTGGAAACCACATCCCAATACTTGACAGACTAGAAAAAGCAATCCCCCGAAGCTGGGCATGAGCAGGATTGTTTTCTGGTGGTCAGGGAGCTCTGTCATAGCCAAGGAATGAGTCTCTCCCTGCCCGTAAGCTGATGGAACTGTGCTTGCAAAATAGTCCTAGGAACAGGTGTTGTGCACGCAGTCAAGTCCCCAAGGCCACTGAACACTTCTTACAGGGGATTAGGATACTCGGTGTCTTTGCATGTACCTGCACCTAAGCAATAATTGACAAACCAAGTTAAATGCATGCGCTAGTATGCGTATGAGTATTTGCATATATATGATGTATGCAATATGTACTGTTTTATATATGTGCAAAATACATATAGTATTTAAAAAAGATAATATATGCCGGGCGCGGTGCCACACGCCTGTTATGGAGGCTGAGGCAGGAGGATCCTGAGTTCAAAGCCAGCCTCAGCCAAAGCGAGGCCCTGAGCAACTCAGGGAGACCCTGTCTCTAAATAAAATGCAAAATAGGGCTGGGGACCGGGCTCAGGGGTCGAGCGACCCTGAGGTCAGTCCCTGATGCAGAAAAAAATAACAAATAAGAGTGAAAATAGTAAGTGCTTTTACCATATATTTTACATTTTATAAATATATATGCTAATGTAGGGTACTTATTGTACCTTCCATTGTATTTTATGTGTTTTTCTCAAAAGAATAAAAACCCATAAAACACATTGCTGGGTCACAGCCCGGTGGGAGATACCTTGGTTCCAATAATGCAAAAAAAAAAAAAAAAAAAAAAAAAAAAAAAAATCTGGAGTTGGGAGACCCCTGTAATCCCATCTCCTGAAGCAGAAGCATTGCAAGTTCAAGGTCAGCCTAAGTCATTTAGTGAGGCCCTGAGCAATTTAGGCAGACCCTGTCTCTAATTAAAAATAAAAAGGGCCGGAGACGTGGCTCAGTGGTCAAGCACCCCGGGTTCACTCCCCAGTACAAAAAAAAAAAAAAAAATGGGGGCCAGTCCGCACAACTGAGCCAAACCCTGTATCCGGACCAAAAATCTGGATGCAGGGGTACATCTGTGTAATCCCAGCAACTTGGGAGGCTGAGGCTGGAGGATCGTGAGTTGGAGGCCAGCCTCAGCAACTTAGCGAGGCCCTGAGCAACTCAGTGAGACCCTGTCTCTAAATAAGATATAAAAAGGGCTGGGGATGGGGCTCCGTGGTTAAGCACCCCCTGGGTTTAACCGCCAAAGTGAATTAAAATAAAAATTAAAATCTGCAAATGTGAAAAAGAATACAAGTTGGTTTGATTCCGGTTCCAAGGGAGACCTAGAAATATCACTTCTCCCTGCATCTGTTGACTCAGAGGCTTTTCGTGAGTGATTCCAAAGAAAACTGTCTAGGAAACCGTGGGTCGGTCGGTGGCCTGCAATTAGTAGGCGCCAAATCTCACCTAGAGATTCATGAGAGGTTTTATTTCAGGGACGCTGAGCTGGTGGGGGTGAGCCTCCCCAAACCAGGCGTTGATTTCTGCGCCCTTTGCTGTATGGTCTCACTGGACTCCTGAATCTGAGTGGCATAGATCATAGTTTAGCCAAAGAATAATAAGTTTGTCAACCAGTTGGTGACAGAGGTGACGGAAGAGTAGGGTCACCACGGAGATCCATCTGGCCCCTTCTGGGATCATCCACGGGGTGGGTTTCCTTTAAATATTCAGATTCTCCGGACCTAGATAGAGACCTGCTAAGTGGATGGGAACTGTCCATCAAGTGGTCGCCGTGGGGACACAGGAAACTGCCACATTTGGAATCCATTTGGCTCATCCCTAAATCCAAACCTTTAAGGAACTCAAGAGCATCCCCAGGAAACATTGTAACAACTTAGTGCACCTTGTATCTAGGGGTCGAAGAGCAGCCCAGGGTCCACGCCTGTCACCCCAGCTGCTCCGGAGGCTGAGGCAGGAGGATCGCGAGTTCAAAGCCGGCCTCAGCCAAAGCGAGGCCCGAAGCAACTCAGTGAGACCCTGTCTCTAAATAAAATACAAAATAGGGCTGGGGACGGGGCTCAGGGGTCGAGGGCCCCTGAGTTCAATCCCTGGTACCCAAAAGAAAAAAAAAAATCCCAAAAGACATTACAAGAAAAAGAAAAATGAAATAATCATCTTGAAATGGGGGTATCTAGCTTAACAGAAAGAAGGGGGGCTATTCATTCTCTATACAAATGGAAGGGTCTTCTAGATTTCCTAGAAATGGAACCGGAGATCCCACAGAATAGGAAAAAAAAATGTCAAGAACGCTGTTGGAATAGAAAGGAAAGATTGAAATGGGATCCAGCCGGGGGTCATTCATATGTAAAGTTGATTTATAATAAATAAGAGTGGCTGGGGATGTGGCAAGGTGGCAGATTTCCGCAGTATGGAGGTCTCAGGTTCGAAGCCAGCGCCATCAAACAAATAAATACATTTTAAAGTAACGCAGCGGAGGCCAGAAGTGGAAGTCAGCCACCTTCCCTGCACCCTCAGAACAAACCCTTGTCACCTGCTTGGGGCCCCTATGTGAATAAGCACAAAAACCTTGGTGGGATACCTAGGATGGCACAGTTGGGGTTCTCCGGATTCTCCACGGAGCGATTTATTTTTTCAAAGTCAACTTTGCAGCATGCAGAGGAGAAGGAATAAAAATGCGTGTGCAAAGTGACCCCACTTTTTAAGGCAGTTTTGACTATGAAGGAAAGAGACCTCTAGCATCTAAAGACAAGGTGCACGGACACTGTCAGATTCTGCACCAGGGTCTCCAAAATGGGAAGCTTCCGGTTGCATTTTAAGACACACAGGGACGTGTGCAAATCCCCCCAATCCTTAGGAGAATGGCCCCCGTCTGTCCTGCGGGTGGAGGATGTGTACATTTTTCATTTCATTCCCGTTTACATTTTTATTCTCATTTTTTTTTTTTTTCCTGGCAGCGGGTCGACTTTTATTGAAACCCAGACAGACTTCAGAACAGGCTCCAACTGGTTTTATGGAGGATTGAGAAACCTGACTCCCTACCCCTGGCTACAAAGCTATGCTGGGTATTTACCTTAATTTCTATTTTTTTATTTTTTGAGGCTAGTGGAGGGTACTGGGATGGAACTCAGGGTCCTCAACCCCTGAGCCCCCTCCCCAGCCCCTATTTTGTATTTTACTTAGAGACAGGGTCTCCCTGAGTTGCTTAGGGGGCCTCCCTTTGGCTGAGGCTGGCTTTGAACTCGCGATCCTCCTGCCTCAGCCTCCCCAGCCGCTGGGATGACAGGCGTGTGTCACTGCTGTGCCTGGCTCTTAATGTCTAAAGACAGGAGGAAGCAGTTTTTAGGGACCCCCTGGAGCAAGCTCGCTTGCCAGCCCCGCCCACCGGGGGAGCCAGTCTGCAGCGTGGACCAGCCCGAGGTCACCAAGGAAGAAACCGAGTTTGCCTGGGAGCCAGG